AATTTAAAAAGCATATCGCGTACGAATATCCTCGAGTTTCTTTGACACTTCGGAAGATGTTCGTTCGAGATCACCAGATATACTTTTCTGTTTCGCTGGTTCGATGGAATTGAATTGCTCGCAAAGATCCCCGTCTATAACGTTCTTTACCGGATAGTAGTACGATCTGAACGACAAATGATCTCTCCCGCAGAGTGGCGGATGCTCCGAGCGCATGTGCATCTCTAAATGTTGGAAAAAATCGTGATCCTCGTGACTCGTGAACGGGACGAGAACGCCAACAGTCCCGCTTAGTGTCGTGTACACCAAACTCTCGGAACCGCCAGGAATAAGAGTCGCCTTTTGCAAGGACATAACAGTTTCGCCAACGTGAAAGCAAGCAACTGTGTCCGCCTTTTGGCTGGCCCCGTTCAACAAACCCCTGTCCCATAAAGCTTTGTTCCCAGTTGGATCTTCGTCCACATCGTCGTTAATTCCACTTGCTAAACGTATCTATATTGAGAAACAATGTGACGAATTTATACATTTGTCCAGATAGTTTTATTGCGCGCTTATTTGATTATCAAGACACGTGATTCTAGTGTTATTACTTACAACAGCAATGTTCCCAAATTTGTCAGCGGTAGCAACGGTGTCATAATCTAGCACGCACGTTGTCGTTATCCACCTTGGGTGCGTATCGTCGGCGAATACGATGAGCTGATTCTCTTGACGTTTATACCTGACAGCGTACACGGATTCTTGAACGTCGCTCACGTAAATTCGTTGCCCGATCGCGTTGATAGAGACAACAGCGTTGGGGATATGTTTGTTCTCGCATTTTCTCAACAATTTCTTTTTCCCCATGTCGTACAGACGTAACATTCTACCGACACCGACCAACACCCTTCCTTGGTAAGGACATATGGCCAGAGGTACCTCATCCAAAGTGGTTTTATGGACCAATTCGAGATTGGTACAGTCACCGTTTACTCTACAAAAAAAAAAGATTTGCTTTCGTATTTGTCCTTTTTTTACAATTATGTAACTCTACATAAGTTGAACATAGACTTCAGAACTGCAGGAATTTCATCAAATTACGTTACAGAGATGTGTGTATTTTTCATCACAAAAATCGTTCGACCCATCTTATCTTTTTAAATGTATTAAAGTAAAAACATACTCACTTGTATGTGTATAGGAAACCTCCGCTGCTAACTCTTGGATTTAGCTGGAATTCCTTCGCTATACCAACAATGAGAAACAACTGGTCTCCCTGGTTAGCAAACTTCACGAGGCTCAAACTATAACATACATCCATAAAAATAAAAAGGAATAACTTCTCGTATTTCTGAACATTTATTTGTTTAAGATCAAGAATATTGAATATTCTCACCACAAAGCAGCTAGATTCTGTTCAAGTCGATGCACTTCGAACGTTTGCCCTGTTGTAGGAGCTATTATCCTTATTAAAGACGCCCATAAACCTGGTCCGGCTCTTGGCGCACCAAACACAGCTTCATTCGGCTCTTCAGACAAGAAAGCCTCCGCCAGTTCTCTCGCTACCACAGCCTCTTCGGCTCCTGCAGCTTCTTGCATCTCCTCCGCCATTTGTAACCTTCTCTGCTGCTTCGTCTCCTCCGTGTAAGCGTTGTGCTCCGTTTCGATGATTATCAGGTGGGCGGAGTCCGAGTGAATCGCGAATTTCCTCGGCGTGTACTCCAGAGGGAAGCTAATCTGATTGAACACCGCGCCGAGTTTCTCAAGAGCGAGAATCCGAAGCGTGTTCGTCGAGATGGCCACGATTCCCTCCGGACACTGTTCGGAACTGAAGCCCGAGGCGAATTCCAGACTCTCGTAGGACAGTGGCGTTAAGTGAAAACGATTTTGATAGTAGTAACTCAGCCAAGATCTGCTGCTCATTGCCAGCACCGCCTGATTACCCTGCATTTTTATCCTGAACAATTTAACGGCTCGGGAGCCAAGGTATCGCGTCCGTGTATCCGCGAGATCACCGGAAATGGGATCCAACACTGTTCTTAGCAAAACACCATTTTGCAAACCTACGAGGATACATTTGATTAGTACGATACAAATGACAAAAATAATTACACATACAATTACACTTGGTTACCTATGTTTAAGTAAAGACTGGATTGTTGAGGCGACAGCTCCTCGGAATTGTTCGCATCTTTGGCACCCATTTCGACGATGCATAAACTTTCTGCGGCTGCCGGTAGAGCTTGCATACTCCTGGGTGCCAAACAATCCGAAGGATCCAGGGAAATAATCCTTACTGTATTGTCTTGAAGACCGACGGCCAAAAACCATGATCTCTGTTCGCCAATTGCTACGTTGCCGAGAGCCATGCACATCACTTCCGACGGCATTTTCTTTCGTTCAGTATATTCGTTCAACTGGCCCGTCTGGGAAATGCAAAGTGGTGAAAGGTTATTAAATTTGAAAAATGAAAAAGGATACGAATTGTCCACTTTTCATCCAGTTCAAATAAATAATTGATATTTCACTATTCGAGATGAAAAAAGTGAAATATTTTACGCATCTTTTACGTCTCTGAGAGCAATTAGCATCGCAAAGAGAACAAATAATGCGATTGAAAGGTAACGAGTATAAACAGGAATCTAGTAAAACATACGGTATCCATCTCGAAGTATACCAACTCTCCTCCAGTGAGTGCAATCACAACCTGTCGTTGATTCACTGCGCACTTCACTATGGTCTTTTTACCAGGAGCTTTCCATTCGTTCACACGTTTGTCTGCTCGAATGTGACGTATCCCATCAGGATATACCTGAACAGAGTACAACAAAATTACCAGGAGGGAATATCGAAAATAGTAATCGAGAGAATAGCAGAATAGCTTCAGTAGTGGCGATTGTGTCGAGTTTCATTTACCAGACATGTTTAGAACGATTATCTAAACACTCAACGATGCGAAAACTCTGTACAATATAGCACTATTTATTGCGACCGACTCGTGGTCGACCAGGAGCCGGAGATACCGTAGTGCATCGAAAAAAAGAAACTACGTGATCAAACAACGTACTTGGACTAGGGCATCTTCTCCCAATGCGGAGCAACTCAGTGTTGGTGTAGTACCAAGAAATCCAGAATCAGTCACTTCCTCTACTGTTTCTCCGATACTAAGTACAAGAGTAGCATTGACGAAGGACACTATGATGTAAGCATCATACTCCTCTGTAAGCAAAATTACAAAGCTCACTCTGAATATCTAAGAAAAGTGAAGATGTAAAAACGAAATCTAATAAAACAGAGAGATCGTTCCTTCGTGGATGGTCAAACACGCTGTTCTTTCTTTCTTTTTCATCCTACACGCAAATAGCAGACGGTTTTTTTTTTGGATGCAAATTCAATTTCTTTAATCCCCGGCAATTTTGACAGTCCTTACCTTTCTGTCACTTTCTGTGTTCTGTAGTTCAACCAATAGCATGCCAGTAGCCTGAAAGAGAGAACTGGTGTTTGATAAGAGTGTATCAAGCCACCAGATTCATTAGTATCATTTACAAAATCAACTTTCTTATTCTCTTTTGCATTTTGTTTTTGCATTGAAAAATTGTAGAGTTAAAAGAATAATCAGACAGAGTATGTGACAAAACAATCCCTCCTCTTTGGGAGAGTTAATTTAATAATTATCGATTTCTTATTGTCTTTTAGAATTCTTGAATGAAGACAATTACGAAACAAACTCTTATTCTAAATACCTCCACAATTTTTTAACCTCATTCATTTTTGTAATTACTAGAAACGTCTAAAAAATTAATTTTTTTTTATGCAAAGATATTCCTCTCTTACTTAAATAATATTCCAGCTTAATGTAACTGAATTTAAATAACAGCGATTACAAGGAACTGTTTTATATACTGTATTAGATGGTAAATTAAATAATGTGTAGATATTGTAATCACGATTAAAAAAAAAGAAGTGTGCTTTGTTGATGTAGAAGATAAAACGAAGCTGGTAATACTTATCTGTCCTACCACTTAAGCGTATAATGAAGGAGGGAAAAGAAGAAAAAGAGAAAAGGACATGCAAACAACTACTGCCAAACTATGTTATAAACTAACCATCGACTCTTCTTTTAACAGTCCACACAGCGTTTGGATTACCAGGCAGTTCGCTGACGGCCATTTCAGATACTTCCAAACCATGCCGTAATACTCGCAATGTAGACCGAGGCCCTCTACCACATGTTATATATAATTCTGGAGTATCCTCATTTGCTAAATCAGCTACCTATATGAAATAACAAATTATACTACAAGTTTATTGAAAACATTTATTTTGAGGTTATCATAATTATCATTTGCACTTGTCATTCTTAGGTTCAACTTCAATTTGCAAAGACAAATTGAAGGCGACTAAAAATATTTTGCTATTGCACCTATCCATAGAAAAAAAACACGTGAAGAATTAATTCTCTACTTAAAGGTGCATCGATATTTTCGTTCTAATGCAAGTTCAATTAGTTAACTTTTTTGTTAATACTGTTTACAAGAAGCTACCTGACACGCCATTATCGGCGATAAACTGTCCATTTCATCGACCAATACTAAATTCCTAAGCGGCCTCGGTGCAAAAAAGAACGTGTCACCCTCTTCCAATGGCATGGCAGAGCTAAATTCCGGTTCGTCGTCATCATCTCCTAAATGTGCAATTTGGTAAAGGTAACTTCAAAAAAAGAAACAAAATTAATCGTAATACAATGAAATGTAATTCATATCTTCAAATATTATACTTACTGGTTGCCAAATTCGGAAGCTACAAATAAGAAACCAGTTTTCAAAACGCACATGCTTGCCGCAACAGGTACAGTATCGAAGTATTTCAATTTAATTTCAGTCACCATGTCTTCGTCTGTCTCGAGTGTAATCTTAAAAATATCTCCTTGTTCCGTCTGAGCCAAGAAAAAGAACATGCTCTTAGTCTTATGAGTAGCAGAACACACGAATATCATGCCTCTCTCGGGATCGTCCAAGTCATTACGTCTTCGCGGAATAGGGCAACGAATGTCATGCTGGTCTCCTAAATTTTTGTATGTCAAATAGTTCTCGGAGCAAATAAGAACCCCACTTGGTCCATCGTTCCCGCCCGGAACGGAAACAAGAAAATTTGCGTGCTCTTCTAGAGGTTCGCTATACTTGCGTACAACATGATTCAAACCCAAATCAAGTTCGTACAAAGTTAACGTTTGTTGTGTCTTTATTGCTGCATCTCCTGTAGGGTCGCTGTCAGCTTCCTAAAATATGTAGACCAATTTATTACTATACTGTATGTATTTCTTCTTTTTTCTTGATAATATTAAAATATTACTTCATAATCAATTTCTAAACAGGCAAACATAGGATTTTCAAAACCCACGTCTACCCCCACAGTATGATAAACCAACGTATTGCTCTTGTGTGCTTCCAAAGGTGATGAAATTGTGAGACGAGCTTCTGGATCTCTATTTAAAATGTAAACAAGCTTCTGCTTCTCAATTGCACCTGAAATGAACATATTTTCCTTGTGAATCGCATTTCGACAATATCACCAATATGGTTGTAACTAAGATTTGCCATCATTAAGATTGATTGTAATCAATGTTAATCAGTTGAAACACGGATAAAAAAAATAATCACTTGGTACAATTATATCTATAAAATTTACAATTATATCTATAAAATTTTTGTAATTATTAACTTGTGCATTACCTATCATTACAGCTCTTCCTTTTGGATCTATGGCTAAATATTGTCCAGGTACGATGCGTCTACATCCACTCTTGCCAAACGTCTCTTGATGTACCTTCTCGAACACATTTTTGGCAGAAATATATTCCAGAATTACAATGCGTCCAGAGTCAGATCCAGCAACGATATAGTCTTTTGTACCGCCAGTCAACCGGAAAGACATTAAAGATCTTACAATTCCAAACACTTCTACAGTTAACAGAGTATGAACCTTCCCTGTGTTTGGATCAGGTCTTAACAACTCCAACGACTTGCCACGTGAAACCAAAATCTCTTGCATTTTACTACCCGAGAAATTGCCATGCACTGCATGAGTGATACCCGTGGCACGTTGAAGAGTCAAATTGTACAGATACATTTTTGCAGGTCCTTCTCTTTTTCTTATATTTTTCAATCAACCATTAGTAGTAGAAAAATGTGTTGTTTCTCATTAAAACAAAAAATCTATATCCATTCTGAAAATGTATAGATAAATGTATAGATAAATGTATAGAAAATATATAGAAAATGTATAGATAAGTTTTTAATAAATTGATACTTTTTTTGTGAAAAAAAGAAAATAAAATCCAATATATTTAACAATACAAGATTACTATAATAATCTCACATAAAAAAAGAAGATAGCAGGAAAGAAATAAAAGTGAGAAACAACGCGAACCTCAATCTTGCCGAGTAGAAAACTTTTGGATTCTTTTCGAATACATACAAATTTAGTAATTACAACAAAAAATTAAAAAATATTTATAAAAATTATAAATTCGCAACACGTGTGAAATTAAAATTTAACTAATGGAAATAAAGAAGCTTTGCAACATGTATGTAAAAAGAATTTTCAAACGCAAAATTAAATGTAAAATAAAAAAATATTACAATTCTCAAGTACAAAACAACGTAAATAATATTATTTCACCTTGTAACTGGAAATATTTTTCAACCTTAGGTACGATGCTGATAGATAATTCCGCTCCTCATAAATCAACAACCATAGTATCAAGCACTTTTGTTCCACTTCAGACGATTTATTTCTACCATGTTATACAATAAGGATAGATCGGAAACTAACGTGAGTCATAGACTTACAACATTACCTGGCGTCTTTTAACAAAACTAAAATTGTCCTATAATATTGTTATATTTTAAGAATCATACATTATTTATAATAGTATTTTAATCATACATTATTTATAAAATATTTTAAGAATCATATGACCAAAAATATAATTAATAAATAAATAGCTAGAGATACGATCTTTTAAATTCAATTTTAATACGCTTAATAAAAAAGTAAATGAAGCTGTTTCATTGCGAACCGACCTTAAGAATCGAGAGTAATAAAGAAATTGTACTTTAATCGTTAATATTTGCAAATCTTGCTAGAAGTTTAATTTTAATTGCATAGAATAAAAATTTAACGAAACAAGATAATAAAAGATATTGTTTCTTTTCGCGAGTGCAAATATGACTGATTGTGAGAATTATGGTTGACACAATTCACATGCATTCCTTCATTTCAATATTTACATATATGAATGTATGATTTTTAAATAACACTGATAAAAATAAAAAAATAATATAATGGCATAAAGAAAACTGAATGAGTGAAGATGAATAACATTAGAGTAATAACGTTCAAGTTGTTGAGGACATATGTAACTAAACCTAGACATGCAGTGGCTGGAGTACGAGGAAAAATACATCTAACGAAGAAAGAAAATGATAAAGAATTTGAAGATGATCTTGAAGAGTTTGATCAAGATGATATAGGGGTGTATGAAACTGATCTGGGAGACATTATGGATTCTTATGCAGATTACGATAGGTATATACAAGATAAATATCAAATTATATTTTATGTAGCTTAAGCTTTTAATATTTCCAATATGATTTTCAGACAAAGTGAGAAGGATCGTGAACTGTTAAAACGTCGCATTGTTAGAAGTAAATATTTCAAAGAGGTAGAGCCGAATTTCCTTACCTATGTCGAAAAGGATGAGATAAGAAAACTACACAGAGAAGACCCTAGTGAGTGGACACCCGAAAGACTCAGTGAAAGTTTTCCAGCTTTACCTCACACCATAAGAAAGATTTTGAAAGCTAAATGGGAACCAAAGTCAGTGGAAAGGATACTTGCGTACGATAATAAAGTAGTTAAAAATTGGAAACAATTTAAAACTGGTCAATTACCAGTGAACCCAATCTTAGAGGAGCACTTAATGAAGTTCAAAAACAGGAAAATTATTTTATCCAACAGGGAGACTTTGGCAGAAAAATATGTGTTACCAAAGATAGAACTTCCAAAGCCTAAAAGTTTATTCTTTCGTAGTGTTATAACAGATTCTGTTGGTAAGAAATCTACCATGGAAAATAAGATATTAATTTCCTTGCAGGATAATGCAAGTAAGGATGTAAAAAAATCTGAGACAACAGGAGAGAAAAATACAAGATTAGTTAACAAAATGAGCAATGATACGATGAATGGAAACGAGCACAGTGAAAGATCAAATACGAAAGACAAGCTAATTACCTTACAGAATAATAAGAGCAGAACTAATAGAAAGTCCAACATGTCAGAGAAGAAAGAAAGATTAATATTTGAAACAGACAATGACTTTGTAAATAGAGAAACAAAAAAGTATAATATTGAAGGGGAAACATTAGTTTTTGAAGAGTTCTTGAAGAAGAAATTAAGTAATCCAGATAAGATTCCTTATGAAGAAAAAGTAACCTTGGTGGATACCTATAAAAAATATATAGAGACTAAGAATTTGGAGAATTTAAGTAATGTATCACCCAATACTGTGGAAGATACTGACACTGAAGAAAAAAGTGTTAATACTACAAAAAATCCGTGTGACGGAAGTGTAGTAAATGTTACAGCAGATGAAAGTGAATCGGTGATAACCAGACTGGAAAACGAGAATGTGAGTTTGGATACTTATATAAGAGAACGAAATTCATATATGGATGCAGATTTCAATTATACGAAACATATAAAAATTCCTAAAAATGTGTATAAAAAAGGCATGACATACAGGATAAAAGATTGTTATTACGATTGTGACGGAGAATTTCTGTATAGAGTACCAGGACTGAAAACTTAAAATGAACTTATATCAAGATTGTGTAATAATTTTGTATACTTAGTTTTGCACGTAGCATTTATTGTAAATTCCATTGATAGATACAGATATAGATTACAGATGTTTAAGAACTATATACATTTGTAAAAATAATCGAATAAAGATATTGTATAAATATATATATATATTTTTTATTTACACGAAAACTTGTACTAATTGTATTCAATTTCGAATAAAATTATCGTATTATCATGTATGTATTGTACATTCGCGGTTTGTCCCAATTTTTGTCGATAGATGTCCTCTCCACCGACCATAATATATTTTGAAGATTTTCGATGTTGCAGATAAATCGTTCGTAAAATGGTAAATAATTCTGATTGCTAACTGAACCGTCATCTTTCGATCACGTGAAGACATGAAACAATCGTACTTGTTCCTTTTCTTCTGTATTAACGCGAGTTTGTAAATGTTTCACTCGCAAGCCGGTCACATTTTTCCTTCATGTTTAGGTTATGTCCTTTTGAATAACTTTCATGCTTTCCGTCTCGTTGCATCAGAAATTTTAGTCTGTTAAAGTTCATGCATTTTGTCTCCATGAAATTTTTCAAAGAAAAAACAACGGGATAAATAATAATACGTGGGAGAAATAAATTTACATAATATGGTAACAACTATCTGTTATATTGTAATAAAATAATCATTAATCCTTTCATGAATCCTATTGTATTTATTTGAGGAAGGCAATAAATGAAAATTTTATAGAAATAGTTGAAACATTTTCAATTGTACCATACAAATCATTGTCTCTGTTAGGAAG